AAGGTGCTCAATCTCATTAGCCATGAGGGAAATACAAATGAAAGCCATTATGTGATATCACTACATACCTATCAGAATGACTAAAATAAAAATAGCAATAACACTAAATGCTGTGAAGATGTAGAAAAACTAGATCACTCATACATTGCTAGAGAATGTAACATATTACAACCCTCTGGGAAGGAAGCAGTTTGTCAGAATCTTACAAAACTAAACATGGGCTTAGAATATGACCCAGCAGTCACACTCTTACGCATCTAGCCCAGGGAGATAGAAATGTATGTTCACACAAACACCAGTATGCAAATGTTCATGCCAGCTTTATTCCTAATAACCCCAAACTAGAAACAACCCAAGTATCCTTCAGTGCATGAATAGTTAAAAAACCTGTAATACATCTTCATTATGGAATATATTAGTCAGCAATTAAAAGGAGTGAACTATTGATAAGCAGTGTAACTGGAGGAGATCTCAAAGCAAATAAACTGCTGAGTGAAAAAAGCCAATGTCAAAAGGTTACATACAATATGTTTCCCTCTACAGAATATTCATTAAATGATGAAATTACTGAGATAGTGAATAGATTAGTGGTTGCCAGGTGTAGGGATTGGTAGAGGAAAGGGTATGTAGGTATAAAGAGATAACATGAGGGAACCTCATGGTTGGTAATGGAACAGTTCTTTATCTTGGTTGTGGTGATGGTTACATAGATCTGCACATGTGATAAAATTGTATACAACTATACATAAAACAAACTGGTGAAATCTAAGTAAGCTCTGTAGATGGTATCAAATTTCTGGTTTTATATTAGAGTTTTGCAGGAGGTTACTATTTTGTTGAAAACTGGGTAATAAAAGAACATGGGACTTCCCTCTACAGTTTTGTTTTTGTTTTTGTTTTTGTTTTTCTTTGCTATGTAGGGACCAAGGGCAGACCACCCCAAGATGTACTATTATGACATACAGATAATTTGAGCTAAAAAGCCATCAAGGCCCAAAAGACTCAGAAAGATACTTTGGTCTCCCTCTTCTCCCAGCTGCCTAAAAAGAATTTAGAAGAAGGAATTAGTGGAGAAGAGAGCTATCACCATAGACAGCTGTATTGCAAAATAAACTAGGAGTGATAGGAAGGAATGTAACAAATTCTGTTAAAATTTCTATTTGTGCCCCATTGTTTCTGTGTGGCCTATCAAGTATTTTGTTTACCAAACATTTACTCTGTTCCTGTTCCTGTGAGTTACTTCTCTTTTCCTTTGAAGTCTCAGGCCCCTACCTCCTTCTCTTTGGTTCAGAATGGCATATATACCTTATTCTCCCTGACTGTCTTTAGTACCCATGTCTATGGAACCCATATTACATATGTAATTAAACTTTTTTTTTCTCCTGTTAATCTGTCTCATGCCAGTCTGATTCTTAGACAAGCTAGAAGAAACTTGAAGGGAGTAGAGGGAATTTCTTCTTCCCCACCAGCTACTTCCTGGGAATCTCTAATTATTTCAAAACAAATATATATATATATATATTAATGATATGGGTAATCAGAGTGGAGAAACCAGAGGTAATTTTTTTGCCAGGCAGCTGCATCTGGGGAGGTCTCTCCCTCAGCAATGATGAAGCACTAGGAGAAACCTCAGTCTGATGGGGGAAGGTTCTTGACTCTAAACAAGAATTCTCACAAAGGTCAGACGAGTGTGGGTAAGGAAGGAATTCATTAAAGTGAGAGTAGTAGGGAGTGGCAGCTGCCATCTAGGCAGCTAATAACAGGGAAAGATCCCAGATAAGCCCCCAAAATATATGCTCGGGTTTGTGTTTGCGGAGTCGAAAAATGGCCTTCACAAATGCACACGGCAGGCAAGCAGGAGAAAGAATTTTATTTAGAGAGAAGGCAAAAGTACAGAACGCCCGCTCACGCCAGGAGGGGACAATAGTGCCCGAGGCGGGGTTTGTCTGGGTCTTTATATCTTAGGTTAAACTGAGTTGTCTGTTTCTTACTGGTTCTTGCCTGAATGCTTAAACTGAGTTGCCAGTTTTTCACTGGTTCCCACCCAAATGCTGTATTTTGTTTTAACCAATCCCACTGAAGATTACCTATATTCCTAATTTAGTGTTTTTATCCTAAAGAATCTATGTGGCTCTAACTTTGCTTGATGTTTAACATGGAGTTTCAGTAGGAATTTCTTTATAGGTTGGTACATTGTCCTGACTACAGTTATCCTGTTTTGCTTCTCCCGGAGGCCCTTACCTTACTCTGACTAAACCCCGTATATATCACCTTTCTCAATTTCCTGGGGGGCAAAAAAGGAAAGGAATTTTGAGAAGGACTTAGCTTGTTCAAAGTTTAGAGAGCTCCATGTTGAAGTTGAAGGGATCTTAATAAAGAACATATGTAGATGCAAGTATTTAGGGTAATGCAGAGTAATTCTGTTAGAACAAATTTGTGGTAAATGAAGTAGTGAAAGATTATGTTTATATCTGACCTAGTTAAAGTGCTTCAAATTTAGGGAAAGGAGTCTGATTTCAATATATTTTAAGTTGATAGTCATGGAAGGTTTGTGAAATATTAAGTAAAATGATTAAAGCTCTATGATAAAGACTCAAGATAAAGTAAACATAGGGAGAATTATGTGAAGACTATCTCAATAGCACAGATGACAGATAATGAGGTTATACTGAATCAGAATAGATTTAGTGAAAATGAAATCTATCATTTATAAGAATTGATTGACTGTAAATTGTATGAAACAAGGGATTGAGTTGGTGATTCTCAAGATGTATCTGTAAGGAGGTAAGAACGTTAAGGAGCATAAAAGCTCCTTTGCAATGTAAATACAACTTGTATTAGGTCTCCCAGAAATAGTTACTTGAGATTCATATCATTTCATTTTTTTGGTGTGACTTTTACTAAATCAAATATATGAATATGTATCAGTATGATCTTCTTAAATGAAAATGTCATTATTTCATAGTAGACGAAAAAGGCAACAAAGAGCAAGTACATTGTGTTATCTTATGCTCTATAAATGTATCACAGAGCAGTGAATATTTCACTCACTTTATATTTAGCTTATCCATTAGAAAATGTATTATAATTTATTTGTTAATGATATGAACTTTTAATAAATATGTATATATTAGTATATTTAAATATTAATTTGATTGCCTTTGACATCAATCTGTGTACTATAAAACATGTATTCTCAAGTGCCATTTACATCACTTCATTAGGGGTACAGGGAGAGGACTAGTGCAGTATTTGAGAAACAAATATTAATAACCCATTCATCTTTAGGTTTTTTTAGATAACACACTCTACTTTCAAAATACTATGTATAATAAATTCTAGTAAGCCATTTTGAAAAATATGATACCTCACTCCACAACTCTTAAAGAAGAACTGCATGCATTAAACTCAAACTATTTCCTTCTCCTTATTACAAATCAATATTGGATTTAACACTGTTTTGCATATCTTTTGTCTTTAATATTTTAGGGCAATTCATACCTTTTCCCAAATCCTAAGGTGTACATTCAGGCTTCTGCAGACCAATGAACATTATTTATCATAGCCCAAAGTAACTACTAAGTAGAAATCATATAAATTAAAGCAAAACATAGTCCTCTGTCACAGTTGAAAGCCCAGGTTGAAATAAATGAAAACCTAACATGGAATCAGTGCTATCTATTAAGTATTTAGATAAAGGTCTGCTGTATCTTTTTCTAATACATCATTCTTCTCCTTTACGAAGCAGAATTTGCCACCCCAAAATATACCTCTTTGGCATAAGAATTACTTTGAACAGATTATTTTTAAGAAACACCAGACAGGAGAATGAGTAATAAAACTTCTTCTTTTTTAAGAGACATTTGCATTTATAAAAAGAAATCTCCATTTGTAAAGGTGTTTCCCTATCTGGACCAGGAAGAGAGGATGACCAGATCGCTGGAAACTTTTATTAATGGAGAAGAGAGTGACATAAATCTGCATAATCATCATACCTGTGCTTTGCCTGATAACCTCCCATAATACCTTTCCCTTGCCCCAATCTCTCTTGTCTTTAACTGGAGATAGGATTTAAAATAATGGCTTGGGCCATTTCTGGGATTTACTTCATTTTCCTGGACCTCTCCCATGTACAGAAGGTACACAAGCTATTAAACTTCTATTTGTTTTTCTCCTGTTAATCTGTCTTTTAATACTGGATGTGTGTCAGCCAAGAACCTGAAAAGGGTAGAGGAAAAATTATTTTTCCTCCCCTACAAAGCAAAACTGATATTTTTCTCTCATTTCATACCTGAAGGGAAAAAAATATGTCCTCTATGTAGTGATGTAAAACCTTTGAAAAGTTATCAACCTTGGTTCTGCTTGTTTTAATTATCTAATGGGTGCTGAACTATAGAAGCATAAATAGAACAAGCTAAATTTCCTATTATTTTCCCTCTTGAGGTTTATTATTAGATAAATTAGCTAGTGGGAATAATAAGAAAATATTACTTAACCAATGTAAGATTTTAAAACATATTTAAAATGTTACCTAAAGAAAAACATTTCATAATTTTATTGCATATAAATTTAGCAACATTATTTTGAGGATCTGTGTTTGAACTGAGAAAACTTGTCAACTCTTTTCTATTTACTGGAAATAGAGATATTTCAGACACATACTTCAAAAATAGTTTGTATAAGTGTCATCCGTGCTTAAGAAGTTTTCTGTATGAAGACGAGATTTGATAGTAGAAAAAACAGCTAAGAAAATTAAATTAGGACATAGGTGTTAAACAAAATGATTAAGCGGGTAAGTATTAAGGGACCCAGAAAGGCAAGGTATACAAAATGATCTGGGATAAAAGCATGGATCCAGAAAAAAAGCAACTCTGTAAGCATGGTCCAGACAAATTGAAAATTCTAGAGACCTTGAGATCTCTGAAATACAAGGATTTTTTTTTTTTAGCAGGACATTCTATTTGTCCATTTTTTTCTACATATATCAATTTCACTATTTTAAAAATATGGAATGCTTCACGAATTTGCATGTCATCCTTGTGGAGGGGCCATGCTAATCTCTGTATCGTTCCAATTTTAGTATATGTACTGCGGAAGCGAGCACTGAAATACAAGGATTTATTGAGCCTTTACAGATGCTAGCCAGATAAGGATTGAGTCCTGGGACAAGAAATTTCTGCTTCCTCAGCAGCAAGGCCAGTTAACAGAAACAACTTGTCTGCCAGACTCAAGAAACAGGGCACTTTATGAGGGTCAAGGCAAGAAAGATTTTTAACTTTGGTAACAGATAAGAGAAGTGGACTAACGTGAATAGGGGAAAGTCTGGATAGGTGGTGTGGATAAAATTGCAGTATTTCCAGTATCTCTCGCCTGGCTTTAGTGCATCTGCATATCAATAGGTGTTTCCAAGGGATGAATAAAGAAGTCCATCTCCATATCAATAGGTAATTACATGTGTGAGCAAGGGTTTATCTGGACCAGAGAGGTTGGGTGGAGCTCTCTTCTGCTGCACCCTGGTCAAGAGAAAGGATGACTGCATGTAAGAAATAAACGGGTTTCTTAAACTTTATTTCTCCCTTTGACTGATTTTGGTTTCAATGGTATTTTGTCCTAGGATTTTTCCCCTGGAGTTACAAGTGGTTAGTCCATAGAGAAGGCTTGTGGATTGGTTGTTAATGATGGTCAGACACCTGTGATGTGCACAGGGGGTGTGGTGTTCCTGGGGACCTTCTAGATGATTGCTGAAATGATTTCATCCAGGTATGTGTAGTTTCTGGTTAGCTCTGTCCTGTGACTTTTGACTGGTGACCTTCCTTTGTCTCTCCCCCTCATTCTCTGGCCCTTATGAAACTTAATTTAAGATTATAGGGAAAATGGAAGTTCCTATGGCCAGGATCCTCACATGACCCTAATCTACTTGATGATGTAATCAGCCTTCTGCATAGGCTAATGCTTACACACCCATTGGCAATAAGCCAGTATTGCCTGTGTTGCTATATAAAGAGCTTTATCCAGTGTTTGGGGCAGAGCAGAGGCTGGAGGCAAAAGAGGGTAGAGCCTGAAACAGAGACAGAGCCTGGAGCCAAGGCAGAGGCTGAAGCCAGAGATGGAGCCTGGAGCAGAGGCAGAGACAGAAACAGGCTTGCTGTTTATAGACTGCCCCAGAGGTGGAAGCGATTATAGCACTTGACTTGCCATCTTGACAATAAAATTTAGTATAAACCACTTTTCACCCACAACATTCTATTGTTACTTTTCAGTCTCACTGAATCCAGAGTGAGCTTGCCCAGAACTGAAACCCACTTTGGCCCAGGGCAACAAGGACATTTCAGAATTTTTCCTTATCAGACGCAGTGAAGATGTTCAGGGTGTTTTGAGTGTGATATTGTTGCAGTTCAAGTTTGTACTCCTTGGTCCTTGTCCCCACCTAAACAAAGAATTGAAAGGCAGAGCACATTAGTAAAGAACAGTGAAAGTTTTATTTGAATACATTCCAAGGGAGGAGTAGGCAGAGTCAAGGTAGACAAAGGCCTTGATCTGTTAGGTGGGAGGCCTTTTTATTACATTCTGACTCCTAGGCACCTCTTTGATTGACAAGATGAGGGCATTTGATTGACAGGTCCATTTGTATAGCCATCCCTCTCAGTGCGCATGTCCTCTCAATGATTCAGTGTGGTTTAGGTGGTTCTTAGTTTTGTTCCATTGCCCCTCTGTTGTGAACTGGTTGATACCAGTTTGGCCTGGTCCTAATAGGCAAGGAAGTTTTCTCCCTGCAAAGCCTTTGTTGCCTTCATGTGGGACCCCCTAACTGGGCAGGGTTTGGGTAGTTTTTTTTTCCTTGAACCTTATTTTCCCCTTCCCTGGTTGCTCATGTCGGTCTTTGTACCTAACAATATTTACATGGATGTTTGCCTCAATGTTGTTTTCTCCAAATGACAACACTTACAATGTCATTAAAATTAATAGTCTATAATACAATCATGCAAAAATAATTAGAAAATTGAAATGAGTATCCAGATAACTCAAATTTCTTCCACTGAAAAATCACATTAGATAATTACATAATTAGAAAAATCATATAATAGAATAATTACTTCTTTTAAGAAGATTTTTTTCCCAATGTTTTTGGGATAATAACATGAAATAACATAAATGCTTTAGTTAGGTTTCTCCTACTGCAGATATTGAGACAAAGACTTAGCAAGTAGTCTATCTACAGTGTAATCCAAGGGATACAAGTGAGAGAGTAGTGAAGTTAGATGGGAAATGGAGAAAAGCCAAGAACATACATAAATGAGCAGATTGTCACTGTGAACAGAGCTCACACACACTGGAACCCTATGACACTATCTGGAACACATCTCCCAAGTTATTTCATGAGAGGCTATGTGTACTGTGAGCCTCCACATGGCAGACTATAGCGTTGCCCCCAGGGTGACTTCCTCATTCTTCTAAGTTCCACTTGAACATAGCAGAGAAGGTCCTGTAGTACCTGTGTTGCAGAAACTGCAGAAACTACAAACAAGGAGTTGGGACACAGAGACATTTGGTGAGAAGTAGTTTATTAGTGCTGGCACTGGCTCAGCAGATTTGTATCCAAAGGCTGAGCCCCAAGCACAGCAGGGCTATGACTTTTATACATTCACTACAAGGGTAAAGGAGAATCAGCCCCCAAGAATGTTGCAATGGAACCTGTTAGTGTACCATAGGTTCATCCAGAATGCTAGTTATATTTTAACCTATCTCAATAAAGGGTACCCGGCTACTCTACTGTAAACTAATGGGCCTACATGACTATGCTCAACAAGCTGTTCTGTATCAGTGGGTCCCAGTGTGGGGTACATTGTTACATTGCTTTAAACTCAAGCACTCTGGTGTTCCTCTGCATTTGTAAAGCCTTAAAGAAACATTGTCCCTTTTCTTGGCTTGGCTTCCTACTGCACCTGAAAGGAAACTCTCCACAAACTCCTTGCAGAGAAGTGGAATGATTCAGGCATTTGAATAGGAAGTGTAAGGCTGGACGCACTGGAGGGAGAAGGGCGAGGACAATGCAGGTGGAACACAGAGCACCAAGTAGCTCTGTGCCATATGGGGAAGGAACGAACAGCTCTTCCTGGATTCCAGTCCTGTGATGTGCCGACAAACCCCGGATGCAGACCCCCTCCATCCAGAAGGAGGAGACCTCTGGCTGTTCATCACCCGACCCTGAACTAATAAAAAATTCCCCACATACCCTGGTGCGGCCCACTTCCCCCTCCCCTCCCTGTGCTTATAAAAACTCCCTGCCTATCTGGTTACCAGCGACTTCCCTGGCCTGTAACTAGCCAGACCGGGGAACATCGCCCGCGAATTGCATTCAAATAAACTGCCTGGCCTCGTCACCTGCTTATTTGTTGCCTCTCGCCACCTGCTTATTTCAGCTAGAATTTATCTTATAGGAAGCTATTGGCATTCCCAAACTGTCTATCTTTCCTGCAATTTTAGGTAATTCAGATGGGGCAAAGAATATAAGACAAAGCATAACAGTGTCTGCTACAATTGATTCCACATTTAAAGTCTAATATAGACACAAGTGTTGAAATAGTATATTTATTTCTTTGTATAAACTCATTTTAATTATGTCATCTACAAATAAATTGATTAAATGCATGGATTTTTTTTTAACATCATTGTGTGGGCAAAAAGTTTATAAGAATCTATCCACATGTTAAATGTTAGTGTTAGACTGGGATGTCAGGAATTTTAAAAATTTCCCCTAGGAAGAAATGCAATAAAAACAATTTTATTTTTTCTTTAATCTTTTTTGTGTCATAAATGTCTAGCACATCATTTGCCAGGAATCAACTTTGTGCTACAAAACTTGACCCCTTTGACCAAGGAAGTCAAATAATTCAACGTACTTAATTTTCTTAAAATAAAAAGCACCTTTAAATATAACTTGTATTATAACAGACTAGTCAGAATTCTAAGAAATAGAAGAATTACCAAACCCCCTATCTAGATTTGTATGACTAATATTCAGTAAACAAATCTCTGAGTCACCAGGAGTGAAGCAGAGAAAGCTTTATCAGAAGTGCAGCCCAAATAGAAAGCAAGGGGACTTTCCCAATTCTGTCTTAACCCAATCAGGCCAAAGAATGAGTTATATACACTACTGGAAAAGGAATGGGGGGGGGGGGGTTTAGGGCAGAAACTAGAGAGGCCTTGAAACATCTCAATTATTATGCACCAATCCCATCTTCTTGGTGCTGCCTCCAGCATCAGGGAAGAAGACAAAGGACAGAATAAAGTTAATGATCATTGCAAGGTTGTGCAGCATGTAACAAAGCTATGAACAGAGAGCCTAGGGAAGGTGTAAATCCAGAGGGAAAATCTTTTCCCAGCCTGAGGCAAAATACCTTTGAAACTGAAATCAGTCAAAGGGAGAAATAAAGTGGGAGAAACCCATTTATTGCTTACAAGCAGTCATCCACTTCTGCTGGCCCATGTCTCTCATGACTCAACCTCAGAAGAAGGGGCCCCACCCAACCTCTCTGGTCAGATAAGCCCTGGTTTGCCCTTGTAATTACCTATAGATATGAGATGGACTACTTCTCTCCACCCCTTGGAAACATCTATTGATACAGAGATGCACTAAGGCCAGGCAAGAGATTCTGGAAATATTGAGGTTTTACCCACAGAAGGTATAAGCAAACAAAGAAGTATATGTTCAGATTGCAAGAAGACATACAGGAATGAAATGTAAAACAGGTAAACCTGTTAATTTACTTGAACTTCAAAAATACTCATAAAGAAGGACTGTAGGGCTGGAAAAGTTTTTCTTTTTTCCTTTCTAGGTTCTTTGTCTGGTCTAATAATTAAATTGATATAAGACCAGATTAACAGCAGAAAAACAAAAGTTTAATAACCTGTATACCTCTTATATACACAACAGAGACCCAGAAAAACCAAATAACACTCTGAAATGGCAAAAGCCATCACCTTAAATACCATTTTCAGCTAAAGACAAAAGGAGATGTTGAGGGTGAGGACTCAGTTATGGGAGGTGACCCGGAGAAGTACAATAAATAGGGTAAGGTTGTTATGTAGATTTACCTTAATCAC